TGGAAGAGAATTTCAAAGTCAGACAGGATCGGAAAAGCAAGACAGGCCTTCATTATTCTGAAAGAATCAGTCTGAAAATCTGTTGCACTCTATGTAAATAACAAAATTCGGATTTCCAAACACTAATCTTATGTCAGTCAATCGTTCTGTATGGTTCACCGACTTGGCATATGCGTTGCCTAAATCCTTTCCAAGAGTCAACTGCTGACTTTTATCAACAGCTACTTTTGCTGACTAGACACCGGAGACTAGATGGTCGGCCAGATTGGACAAGCAACAAGAAACTCTGTGAACGAACCAACCAGGACTCTGCTGCCCAAAGACATGTGGAAGGAAATGAAGATGAATCGGATAAACACTGAGAGGACTGTTGAGAGGCATAGCATGTCACATTCTCAAGTGGAAGGTGGCTAAAAAACGTCAATATCTGGATGGATTAGCGGGCAACCAAAAGGTAGTTCATGTGAGAGGGAGATGTGAGATTATGGGCAACTGTGGAGGCAGCTAGAGGGGACTGCAGAAGAGAGGATGAAATGGAAATGCTCTGTTCCATTTGGGACCCAACGGAATAATAACAGTAACAACTCATGCGCATTTCTGTTTAAACTACTAAATATGCTGATGTCTGCAAATCCGTATGTCTAGAATGAGCTTGGTGTGCTTTGTAATAACTAGCTAAAGTTTACGATGACGTATGTAGTCATTTATCTTCATTCGTGGGAACACCTCCTTTGATTTTCCAGATATATGCTGTTCACAAGTGCCACTAGCTACGAAACCTAGGCCAAAGCCTTCTTGTCGACCGCTCGCAACCAATTGACATCGATTTTTAGTGCACTGAAATGGCAAGCTATTCAGCCCAGCCACCATATTCCAAACTTAACTGACAGAATTCAGTCAGGTGTAAGACTCAGAAAGTTTGAGTGAATTTTGATTTCATAAACATAATAAACTAGGAAATAAAACTTTATATTACCAGAATTTGCTTAAGGTTTAAATATGCTATAGTATACCAGTGTGAGATAATATAAAGTGATTTCACTAATAAGAAGAATTTTAATCAATAAAATTCATTTAAATCCAAGTTGATTAGAATTACAACGCATCATTGTCTATTTAAGTCAAGTCTATATATTACTAGCCAAGGGAGTGACTTCTTTTCTAAAATACCCAGAGGAGAAATATGAATATAACTTATTAGTATATGGAGTATTTTAAATCCTGACGTTTTTCCATTCCTTGGCCTTCTGAGTCGAACATTAGGCTTCAAGCTGGAACTTATAAGTTTCAGTAGCAGTGACGCTGTCTTTATGAGGTGTGGTTGCAAGCTTGACACCCAAACTTCCCTATTTTACCAGGCTTATAACCAGCTAACCGTGGTTTAAGTGTGCGTCGTCTGGGAAATGAACCCAGATCAGGTGCGCGATTGGCGTGCATTCTACCCATGAACCACCGACGCATGAGAAGTGAATATTTCCCACCCACCCCCTGAAATAACAGACTATACTGTACAAAATCAGTTGACTGAGAAATCATGTCAATGAATCAGCTGATGAGTTTGTCGCTGGTCCAGTGCTAGAATACTCATCAACTAAACATATCGTCCGGACTCCGATTCTCCGGCTGGCGCACTCCTAAACCTGTCTTAATCGATAGTAAGCCCGGGAAAAAGAGAAATTTCGGTGGGAAGCTAATGACTTCATCTCATAAAAAGAACAAAACAATCTTGAAACTTGAAAAATTGAAAGCCTATGTTCCACTTTGAAAGCAACGAATGAATTTATAAAATAATATATATAATAAATCTATTACTGCAGTTATTCACCAGCACTAGTAGCATGGGACAAAAAGCAATAATATTTCTCTAACTCAGTGCTTGCTTTTTTAAATTTCTTGTGAAAAGAATCGAAAGTGAGACAGATGAATTCATCAATACTCCCACAACAAAACTAAGTGGCTTACAGAATGACATTTATGCTCAATAGCATGAATGTTAAATAAAATTCCAATGACTAGTATGATCAAGGGAATTGAATGATTGACGAGTTATGCGTCATTTTTCTAACCAGACATTATCAGGATTAAACGTTTTTCATCACAAAATTAAGTTTATCAAATGTTTAGTCTTGTAATGTCATTTTGAAATGTACTTTAAAGGTATTTTTGATTGTATTTGGTTAAAATGAATATAAAGCAGATCGATAGATAATCCGCTATATCAAGCTATCAAACAGGCATGCCAAAAAATATTAATAGAAGCTCAAGTAGGGAATATGTGTTGGCAAACAATGGTTTTCATTAGTTGGTTTGTAAGGATTGAATATGCTTTTGTTCGACTTTGACCATGGACTGATATCAGGTGGAGAACCATTGAAAACCAGCATTGGAGTACTGGACAGCTGCTGTTTCATCCCAGTTTAGGAATCATCGGCAGTACGTACCCACCGACAGGGTTAGAAACCAGGACCTTCCGGTTACAAGGCAAGCTTGTATACCATTCAGCCACGCCCTGTGGCAATCGATTCCCAGTGGCGTGGCTGATTGGTATACAAGCTTGCCTTGTAACCGGAAGGTCCTGGCTTTGAACCCTGTCGGTGGATGCATACTGCCGATGATTCCTAAACTGGGATGAAACAGCTGTCCAGTACTCCAATGCTGGTTTTCAATGGTTCTCTAACCGATATCAATCCATGATCAACTCGTAAAAAGTAATGGTTTATCAAAGTTTAACAGTGATCAGAAAGGCAAGTTTTTAATGCTTTAGAATTATTTTTCATTTGACCTACAAACCAGAAGGGTTACTGTCACAAACCTCTGTGATTGTGCTATCAAGAAATCTGACTAACTGCTCAAACTAGACTCCTTTACAATTAAAGGTATTCTCTGAGCTGGTTGGTTTAGTTGCGAAGCTTTCGTCGTCTTTCTGGACAACATCTTCAGCGCCATATTTAGCACAAAGTGAAATGATTTAAATTTCTTCATGCGTGATGTAATTGCGTCTCCTGGTTACTATCTTTACATATGTATTGACCACTTTCTATTGACTTGGATTTTAAACTTTTTGGTCACCTGATTTACTTTTTATTAATTGGTATATTTCATCTATATTAACGTGTTTGTTAATTGCATTTTCGTTTGAGTACCAGGCTTCTAGGAATTCCCTGACTGCACTTTTCGTGTTTCCTCTGTTTAAGATTTTGACATGATCCCAATCAAATTGATGGCCATAATTGTCTGTATGCATTCATACGAAAGAATGCATACAGACAATTATGGCCATCAATTTGATTGGGATCATGTCAAAATCTTAAACAGAGGAAACACGAAAAGTGTAGTCAGGGAATTCCTAGAAGCCTGGTACTCAAGCGAAAATGCAATTAACAAACACGTTAATATAGATGAAATATACCAATTAATAAAAAGTAAATCAGGTGACCAGAAAGTTTAAAATCCAAGTCAATAAAAAGTGGTCAATACATATGTAAAGATAGTAACCAGGAGACGCAATTACATCACGCATGAAGAAATTTAAATCATTTCACTTTGTGCTAAATATGGCGCTGAAGATGTTGTCCAGAAGGACGACGAAAGCTTCGCAACTAAACCAACCAGCTCAGAGAACACTTTTAATTGCATATCATAAATGGCTGTTATCAAATATATAAGAAAACACTTCTATTCTTATGAATTAAAACCAAAAATCAATAAACCATCTAGACCACGTAGTCATCTCACTTCATATTAAAAAATCAATAAAATTTGAATCAGGTAATCAATATTCATGTGTGTGTGCATACACACGTATGTTCATTCCTATAAATTAACTGACTTATAAACACTTTGCAAGATGAGGTATTCATTATGCTACTGATAACTAGGAATTTCGCGTCTTAATTCTGAAAGGAGAATAGTCCTCCTCGACAAAAAGGATTATGATAAAAGGGTGAATGTGATGTACTGCTAGATAAAGAGAAGTTTCAAAAACTGGAGGACAGGAAAGAATTAAATAATAAAATAGAGGATGAAATAATCAAACATTAAGAGAAACTAAATAAAGAACGCGCACAAATCACATATACAGGAATAAAGACATTTACATCAAAGATAACGCTGTGGTGATAGCTTCATCCTTGATGAAAACGATTTGAACAGGAAGGCAGTGATATTTCAATTCAGCGAAGTATCTTCAGCTGTCAGATTCACATGAGAAGAAGAATTTCAAAGTAAAATTGCCTTTTTAGACGTCCCTCGTGACAAGAAGAACAGATGGTGGTATAGAAAGGGATGTGCATAAGAAAGCACTTAAACAGGCCTACACATTTTCATGAAACTTGGTGCAGACCCTCAGTTATAGGATCTGGACTATTTGTTCAGAAGATGTGAATGAAGAGGGACTTAAGATTTCACACATGTTAGGTGAAAACAGCTACCTTGAAAAGTTTATCATCAAAAAACACATGACGAAGACAATAAGAAATAATTCTTTTTTTTCTTAATAAGAAGTCCCTCTCTATATATACTACTGCAGTTCAAGGCTGATGTACCAAGCAAAATAATAACAGACAAGCTGAGAAAATCGATCCAAAGAACGTTTGATATCGGTATGCTACAACTTATATATTTTCCAAACGATCACTTGTGATTCTGTAAGTGGAAGATGATGTACCTAGACTAGCCATCTCTTATTGTAACTATCAGTTTCAGTATCCTTATGCAGCCAGTTGTATTTTGATCTTTTCTCTAAGAATTTTGATGTTTCGTGCTCAGGAACACCTACCGATGTGGCCAAATAAAAGTTCAGTCAAAAACATTAACAGTGTAACAGTGTAACCAGGAGATGGGAGCTTATGAGCCAGCTAAAGAAGCCTGTGGAACACAGAATAAAAAATGGAGATTTTCCAATGAAGTCCTATGTTCCATTGGGAACCCAAGGGAATAATAATATCATACATATATATTTCAGAATAATAATATTACATGTTATAAAACTGATCACTCACCATGCCATGAAACATAAAATTTCCCCTTTTTTGTTTTTGTAAAATCGCACAGTTTACTGATTAAACTATCATAAGTGATACTTCTTGCTGGTCCTTTGAAATTCAACACAGCTATAGTGAATTGTTCAATACAACTGAATGTAGGCAATGCTACACGAAGTTTAATCATTACAGAATAATAATAATAATAATAGAAATAATCTATAATTCCTTAGCGCTGTCTGAGATGGATGAATTTTTACAACTTCTATATCATATTATTGTGAGTCTGCATTGTCTGATATCATTTTTCACAGTTGCAATATAAACCTTTCTACATTGATATTGTGTATTTTATTCTCCTGTATTGGTAAGTATGCCTGAATCTGTGTGCATGTGTGTGTGAATGTGTGTGGTGCATGTGTGCTTATTGTGTTTGTATGTGTGAGTACATATATGTGTACGTGTAAATACTACTACTACTACTACCCAGTGATAATCATTCTCAAAGCGTAAAAAAAGCACTTGGCTCTGATTCCTTAAATACCAAAACTACCTACTACTTTGCGATCAATTCACTCGCAAGTAGACACATATGACGAGCACCTGATCTGATTCCATTATTATTATTATTTTTATTATTATTATTATCTTCCGGAATAGTCTAAGAAAAAACTTGTATTCTCTCGAGTATTATGGATTAAAAACAAAAGCTGTTTAAGTCTCTGCTCCATTCTCTTTGAGAATATTGATTAAACACGCATGTAAATAAATAGTCTAACTTATGATTTGCTTAACTGTAACTTAACCAAGTATATATATATTTATTTTGTATGTGTAAATTATACAGGTGAAATCGATTATATATTATTGATCCGAATTTAAATATATTGTCTATCTCTTTAAAAATTTAAAACAATTAGTTCCCTTTATGAATTTAGATAAAGCAATAAGACGTAATTTGTCTGAATCGTGTTGTAGTGTATTTGCGCAACACATTTCGAACAATCTGATCACACACGGACTTGTCATAAGAATATATGTGAAATTAATAAAGAGGTAAGAGGTGAGAAAATAGACTTAGGTCAAGTTGAAAGGACATATTCAAGGTCAAAGTAACAATGAAGACCACTAAACCAAATAACGGAGATAATAGTACATCTGCATTGGTGTCAAAACAAAATTTACCAAGGAAGGTTTAATGTGATGACGAATTGTTTTTGAACGCATAAAGGTGGCTTAAACTTTCTAATTGCTAGGGCTTCCACAAACTTTAGGATACGCCCCAAACACGTTTTATAGATAGGTTTAAAAGATCTGTTAACGTCAATTTTATGTCCTGTCTCTATAATATGTTTCGCAATAGAAGAGCTAGGTCTCCTGTTCTCACCGTTAATAGGTTCTGAAGATTCCATTTGTTTCTGGAGCCATTTAGGAATAAACTTGACCTAAGCAGTTTATTTTCTCACCTCTTACCTCTTTATTAATTTCATATATATTCCTATGACAAGTCCGTGTGTGATCAGACTGTTCGAAATGTGTTGCGCAAATACATTACACGATTCAGACAAATTACGTCTTCTTATTGCTTTATCTATATTGTCTATCATTTGATGGAAGTCAAAATTGCTTCCATTAGACTTAAATGTGTAATAGCTCGCAGATGTTTGCAACAGTAGGGTTATTTGGTGATACTTGTGTATTGATTTAATAAATAATATGCTCTAGCATTTGAAACAGTTGTTCTGTAGATACGATCGACTTAGAATTAGAAAGTCTTCGTACAACTCTGTTAAATAATGGATATCCTAGAAGGTTTATTGATTGACACATCAAGAAAGAAACCGTCCTTAACCAAATCACAGTGCCAAAAAAGACGCCTGTTTATGAGTTTGCTTTTCAAAGGTGACAGTATTTCTGAAGTAATTAAAAGTTGTTCATCTAAATGTTGTGTTAAACGTTATTTTTATGCAGCTGACTTACATTTAGTATTTACCAGCCGAAATACGACCTGACAATTTATATTCTTCCTTCACGTTCCCAGTGGAACATAGGGCTTCAAGCTAGTGGCTTGAAATTTCTGTAACAGTGTTTATTTTACAGGATGGGGTTGCTAGCCTCATGACCAACCTTTCCTCTTCACCAGCATTATTTCTGGCTTAGCAAGGTAAAGGGGTGCGTTGGCCGGGGATCGAACCCCGGACCACGTGTATGGTCGAGAGCGTCTTAACCGCTATGCCACCTGACAATGTATCAAGGATAAACTACCGCTTATGTCCACCTCTATGTGCATATACTTAACCACGTGCTCCTGTGGTGCTGATAACGTCGAACGCTGTAAGCGTATTCTCCGTAAACGCGTAGCTGAACACTACCCGGTTTGGTTAATGAAAGGTGAGCTAAGAACGACAAAGTCTTCAATCTGTTAACACCTTCTGGAGTCTATTCATTCAGTCCCCCCACGTGATTTATCCTTTTAAGTTATCTACAGGACCAAATCAAATTACACTCCAAAAGCTTACGTTTTCTCCACTTATGCATAGCCAACAGAAGCTCTAGATATACACGGACAAAAATCTAAATTATGTATTCAAAGACGTCTTGTCAAACCTCTTTCTTTACTTTGGTCAAAGTAATATATTACTTTATTTTATTCTATTTTATCACTTGAATTCATTTCACTTCACCTTTGCCGATTTTATTGTTATCATCATCGCACTCTTAGTTTTTCAGACGATACTTGACCTACAATTTTAAAATCTTTATACCAGTTCACTTATTTAATAATCTTTACAAGTGTTGTAATTCATCTACTTCAACTCTAACCCCTTAGCAGATCATTTTAATTATCCTCATTCTTATGATATGTGCAATATTGACTGAGTAATTTCTAGTGCCCAGTTAAGAGAAGAGAAAACGGACATTTTAGTATAGCCATTTTCAGGAAGAAAACCCACTCCAATAAATATTTAGACTTCGCATCAACACACCCGATCAGCGCAAGGATATAAGTTTTTTCAAGTCTTCTTAGACGAGCACACTCTCTAACAACGGATGAGAAAGAAAAAGAAGAAGAAATATCAAACATTACTGAAACTCTGAAGCAAAACAACTACCCAAGAGACTTCATCAACAAAATCAACACAGACATTAAGTATGGCCAAAAACGCATTCCGAAAACATGGACCTCGACAGTCGTCATTCCATATAGAGCAGAGACGTCAGATGATATCAGAAGAGTACTCAATCAGCTCGACATCAGAGTTTTCTTCAAAACATCAGACACACTACGAAACAACCTTGTCCATATAAAAGACCAAATCCCTAAAGATTCTCTATCTAATTGTGTCTATAAAATAAAATGCTTGGAATGTGATGCGATATACATCGGAAAAACATCTCGAGAAGTCAAAATCAGAAGAAATGAACACCTTAGAGCATCTCTTCGACCACCGAGAAATAAGTCCAATTGAACTGGAAAAACTTGAAAACTCCTCAGCCATAGGTCTACATGCTATAGAATCAGGCGACAAAATTGATTTTGACACTATAGAAATAATCCAAAAAAAACTTCAGAAATCATAAAGAACGTCTAATATCAGAAGCACTTCATATCAAGTGGAATCCAAATTGCCTGAATAGGAATGATGGACTAAAACAGAATCTGACCTGGTTACAACACCTCCCTCCCCTCCCCATGAAGTGACAAAATCAACACCATAACAGATGTACTATTACCTTTGTTATTTGGTTTAGTGATCTTCATTGATATTTTTACTTTCAATATGTCCCTTTAACTTGACCTAAGCCTATTTCCTCACCCCCTAACTCTTAGTTATATATATGCTGAGATTTTGTAAATTCCGGTTTAATAATACTTTGATAAAGCTATTAGCAGCAGCATTAAATAGCGAAACGTCAGTAAAAACAATATCGTTTTGTTTTTCATTCATTGGGAAATACAAAAACCTTTATTATAATGAATATCATGTACCCAATGCCCACATTTTTTTCAAACTGTTCTGTTTTTAACACAGTGAAAGTGTCATCCTCATATCTTCACCATATTTTTGGAGATCCTACATAGGTCAAACTAGTAGATCAGGGGCAGTGAGATTATCAGAACATAAGAATTTAGCTAAGGGAAGAATGGCTGACCCTGAAAATATAAGTAATTTAGAAATAAGCTCAGCTATTGCACTTCACGCATTAACAAACAACCACACAATAGCATGGTGAGATAGGGTTAAAATTCTAAAAAGTAACATAGGTAGGTGGAGAGAGAGGTTGATTACGGAATCCTTGTTCTTTGAGTCTACACCCAACACATGCAACAGAAATGACTCAATGAAAATACCAGAAATATGGAAGATATTATTACCGCCGGTCAAATCAAAAGAGAATAATAAATAATCTTATTATTCTATTTCATTTCAAACACATCAAAGCATTCTAACAAGTAACTTATTATGACCATAAAATCACTCGTTTTATTTCCCATCTAATTGTAATTGATCAATAACAATCGTATTATTATTCCTAAATGTACATTATCTCATACTGAATTTTATTCCAATATCTAATCGATTCCACTCATGTATATAAATGAAGGAAAAAGTTGTGTGAGTAACTTGATATGATTATGAGCAATAGTTTGTGCTCGAAACTTGGTCATCAGTTAATATAACTGTACAACACTGTGTGATTTATCAAAATAAAATCTTATCCATAATGGAGTTACACTCTACCACAGTGCACAAGTTTTATACTTATATCAATAGGAATGTGGCTTTTCTGTTTTGCAGATCAAATCTCAGTTTCTTAGAGTAATGACAAGTTCAGCTGTATGTATGCCCGTAGATTACATGAATAAACCTATTCATTCATTTAAACTGAGCTAATTTCGAGTGTATTTCTTGGATGTTTTATCAGAAGTGGAAAGGTCGCTGTTATGATACTTCTCTTTAGCGATGAAAAGATTATTGTCACTTTGTAACGCTCGAGGGTGTGAAGCATTTAAAGGTTAGAAATTCCATCTTATTGCCTATATTATTTCAGGCAGGTGCTGTTTATGCTGTTGTATCTTCAAAACTGTCTCTTTTATTATTATTACCATTGTTCCCTTGAGTTCCTAGTAGAACATAACGCTTCAAATACACGTCTACACTTGCTTCTGTCTTCTGCTGTACTTTTCACCTGCGTCCATGTTAATTCATACTGTCTCAGCTCTTCTTCACACTATCTCCTCTATGTCACCCTTGAACGTCCCACTCGCCACTTCCCTTTCGAGTTCCACTCGACCATTGGCCTGACGTGCAATGTCATCCAGCGGCCTCCTCAGCGAGTGTCCAATCCATCTATACTTTCTCCTGCATATTTGTTAGACAATTGGTTCTTGTTTTGTTTGTTCCCATAGTTTCTTGTTGGTTCTTGTTCCTTCCGGCCATCTGATCTTCAGTATAGAGCCAGCGAAGACAGTTAGTTGTTGATAAAGGTCTGC